CCGGGTCGACCTCAAGCTGCTGACCACTCTGCTCACCCGCATCGTTCTCCAGCTCCGAGACTCGGTAGTCAAGAACGGATAGGTTGACCTTAGACACTGTACTATCAAAGGTGTAGATATTCGACGACAACTCTTTGAAACCATGTCTCTTCGACTCGCATACCGCTGGCAGGACATATCCAACATCTCCCGGAATATCCAGCGAGATATCCATCTGGCCTATAAACGTCGGCAAGACCGGCTTATCCATGTCGAACCTCCCGTTCCTGTACGTGCTCCCCAGACAGCCCTGGAGTATCGAGTCTAGGGCACCCGCGTGTATCAAAAATGGACGATTGAGTTGTCCTTTGCTAGCGGTCTCGCCGATATCGACGAGCTTCACGTCGTAGGTGGCCTGGCCGTCACCAAGATGGACATTCTCGACTCCCTGGAAAGCCTCACCGTAGTTCCAGGCGATCTTTTCGAATTGGCTGTAGAAGTCCTCTTTGGAGTTAGTGTGCGAAGACCCCTCGTGGACGCGGTGGTAGTGGGCAATTCTCGACGCCTCCAAGCTGGCATCTTCGCTCGCCATCTGCTCACTGGTTGTTTCGGTGTAGTCAATGGCAATCAATCCTCGGCAATTATCGCGCAAATTGTCGATGCCAGCGCATGAGGATATAGTAAACTCCCACCAGGAAGCTGGCGTGGAACCTGAGGTTGCAAGAAGGTGCGGCCGCATGTGCATGATAACCTCAGTCGGCACATCCTCAGAAAGTGCCATAGCAGCAAAGAACGAGATCTCACGAAGACGAAGGTTGCGTGCTGTCTTGCTTGGTTCCACTAACTGCTGCGCGCCCTCAATGGCCATGCCGATGAGGCCAGCGGCTGGAAATAACACAGTACTGCCTACCTTATGGCCGCGAATCCAGGGCTCGTCGGACAAGCGGAGGAAGTTGCGCCAGACATGTTGGCTCTCATCCATCATCGGGACTTGGGCACCGATGATGCTCTTGGAGGGAAATTGGCGCATCACGAGCTCCCGTTGAATACGAGTCTCGTGGCGGAAGACCTTGGAATGGTTCCATTGGTACGGGGGAAGGTCCGTCAGTCGACGGGCGTTCATATCGCCGTTGACTTGGGAGATGTCAATTGGAACCCCTTTGAGGAAGAGCTCGGACGCGAGCTCGAGACTCGTTTCAAGAGCATTGCGTCCGCGTGTCAGCATCGACTTGTAGGAGATGTGTTTGACGCCGTGGTGACCGAGAATTTGCTCCACAGGTCCACCCAGGGCGCCATGTGGGCCAATTTCGATTAGTAGGTCGACAGTGTCATCACCTCCTTCAGCTTCGTCTGGAGCGACCATCTCCTTGACCGCATCGGAGAAGAGAACCGGCGAGACCAAGTTGCGGACCCAATAATATGGCCCCAGAAGCTCCGGGGCGACCTCTTGGCCGGTCACACTAGATACCATAGTTTGAATGACTTCATCGTCCTCGCTCTCATTGTACTCTCGAGGTATAGGCTGAAGATCGGCAATGAACTCAGCGTAAGTGCCAAAGACACGATTCATATGCCTACTGTGGTACGCCATCTCGACTTTCAGTCTTCGAGCAAACATCTTACGCTCATCACAGATGGCTCGGAGTTGCTCAAGTGTGTCAACATCACCCGACAGCGTCACACTTGACGGTGAGTTCACACAGGCGACGGCAGCGGTGCCATCGAGCTTCGACTGTTCGATCAAGTCCTCTGCTTCGTCTCGTGAACAGCCAACCGCCATCATGCCGCCATTGATATCTGGCGCATCTCGAAGCCTGATAGTGGCCACACCCCTAAAATAGGCGGCTGCAATTGCGTCACGGTGGCTCAGTGCTCCGATGCTGTATGCGGCTGCAATCTCGCCGCTGGAATGCCCAACAACTTTGGAAGGAATCACGCCCCACGACCGCAGCTCATCAACGAGCGCGATCTGGAGCACGGAGCAGATGGGCTGACTGATCTCGGGCTGGCTCAGGCGGGAGTCTGCTTGGGTCTTCTTCAGTTCTACGACTGGATCCCAGACACAACCCATGGCTTGAAGGAAATGTGTCGATTGCGCAACTGAGTCCCTAAAGACTGGGCGGTCGAGCATCTCCACACCCATGCGCGCCCATTGTGCACCCTGTCCGGTAAACACGAAGCCAATTCGTGGGACTCGAATGGCACTGTTCGCATCCCGAGAGGCGCCGTCTCCTGGCTTGGTGGTTAGATAGTCATGGAGCTCGGTCCTGTTCTCCGCAATACATGTTGCCCGCCACGAGAGACTGGATCTGGCCCCGGAGAGTGTGTGGGCCAAATTGGCCATGAAGTCCGAGCTCGATGCTCCGGAACCAACGATGTCTAGATGCTCGACCAGGGCATCTGCATTTCGCTTGAAGCCAGCCTGGTCGTGACTGCTGAAGACGAAGAGTCGTTTCTTGGTACGGGTCTTCCCAAATTTGGAAAATCCATTGCTCGTTACGGATCCAGCGTTGAAATTGGTCGGGTCGAACGATTCCAGGACGACATGGCCGTTTGTGCCACCCATGCCGAAGCCGCTGACGCTCATACGCTTGGTCGGCGCAGCGGGCCAAGGCGTCAATTTGGTGGGTACCGCCATGTTCCATTCGTCAAATGGAATCGCGGGATTGGCTTTAGTGAAGTGAAGATTTGGGGGGATCAGATTGTTTTCCATCGATAGGATGCCTTTGATAATTCCCGACACACCAGCCGCTGATTCGAGATGGCCGATCTGATTTTGAAGTTAGCATCCTTCAGACAAGATGTCGCTGAGAATCCACAAGACTCACGTTGGGTTTAACACTTCCTACAAACAGCTTGCGCGGTTTGGGCGAGCCTTTCCCGATGGTGCTATAAATGGCTCTTGATTCAATTGGATCTCCGGCTTTGGTTCCCGTACCCTAATACTGCGGTTAGTGACGGTAAGGCCCCTAGGTCTGATAGGTCTTTGACTTACATGTGCCTCGACATATTGTGTCGAGTAGTCCAACCCGTTGGACGAGTAGACCTGTTTGATGAGTGCAGCCTGTGCTTCAAAAGACGGCATTGTCACTGCAAACAAGAGCGTTAGCAACTCTCAGTTCGCATGACGACAGAATATACTTACCACCCTGTGTAAAGCCATCTGAATTAGCACCAGTACCACGGATGACTGCACGGATGTCATCTCCATCTTTAATTGCATCGGCCAGCCGTTTCAAGATGATGATCCCACAACCTTCACCGCGACCATATCCACCTGCACTCTCATCAAAAGCTTTTGACAAGCCCTCAGGGTTGAGGAAAGTCAAATTATTAAGATGTGTCGTGAAGTCTGGCGTGAGCATCAGACTCACGCCACCCGTAATGGCCATCTCGGACTCCCCTGACTTCAAGCTCTGGCAGGCCAGATGGGTCGCCATCAGACTGGAAGAGCAGGCGGTCTGAACCGTGGCACTGGGGCCATGGATATTCAAAAAATGAGAGATGCGATTGGAAATCATCTCGTCGCCAGTCCCGAGAAGATGGTATTTAGGGTTATGCAAGAAGTCCCGCTCCACTGCACCTCGATAGTCGCTGGGACCCGAGCCAATGTAGCAGGCCGTCTGGGTGCCAGAAATCCGTGGAAGAGACATGCCCGCGTTTTCAAACGCTTCATATGTCACTTCCATGGCGATCCGCTGTTTGGGATCGAGAGCGATGGCTTCCGCCGCGGTGATATTGAAGAAGGCGGCATCAAATACATACGGATCTTCTTTCAGAAAGTGTCCCCCTTTCGTGGGTAGTGAGTTCAAGTGGCCGTTGCTTGGGTGGTAGAAAGCGTCGGAGTTCCATCGGGTTGATGTGGGTGAGTAGGCATCTTGTTAGGGACTCTTGTTAGTCCACTGCCAATGCAGCGGATTTTCACAATTGAAGAGGCTCTCTGCTCACCTTTGCCGTTCTTCAACATGTCCCAGAATTTGGAAGGGGAGCTCGCGTCGCCGGGAAAACGACATGACAGGCCCACGACCGCAATTGGGACGTCGACTGCGGTGTGATGTGCAGAAGGCATTTTGATGTCGTTACAGCTCTATATTTTGGAAGGAGGGAGAGGGTGGGGGGCATTGCCAACAATAAAAGGAAAAAAAGGCATTGATTGTGCGAGTTCTTCGGCTCATATTCGCGGGCCGCGGAGGGGTTTCAAGAGAGCTATTGTCCGTGATACGAAGATGGCGCTATGAGGCTCCGGCGGAATGCGATACAGCCCCCACGATGTTGTGAATGTCCGATATTTACACGGTTGCCGCAATGTTGAAAGGAGCTTACCATCTATGACGGGATGGGAATTCTGCCGCACATATTACCTAGCAAAGAAAGAGCGGAAGGTCAGTCAATTTCATCATCATACCCGAATTGTGTTTTTTCGGACATTTAGGTTATCGTGGCCCGCCGGTGGCTAGGAGTATGGGACTACCCGTAGGGTATCTATATGCGGATGAAGATGTCATGCAGTCAGCATCCTGATGATATACGGGAATGCAGATCTCATGAAGTCAGCATCTATGAATGCTGCCTAATCAGGGTAACGGTCGAACCACCCAGGAACCTGCCGGTCGAGGGTGCAAAATGACCATTATTAATGTTATTATCAGCTCGTGTTACCTTTTTCTTAGCAATTAAGTGGGACTGTGGCGTGACGGGACGGCGGACGAATGTTGCATCGCCAAGATATGCATACAACATGCATATCTTGGCGATTTGAGGGTTATTTTCGACCGCCGGATGACTAATACGGCGGTCGAATGCTAGCTCCATTGCCAAGATCTATACCGAGTATAGAAAACACGGCGGTCGAAATGTGTAGTTCTCTCCTTCGACCGTGTCAATCATAGGCTTCCTTACGTGATTTTTTTGTCATCGAGAATGGCTTCAACATGTTTCTTTGTGAACTCAAGACTACAAGTTGCAATCTCTGTACCCTTTAACGGGCTGTCGTGGCGCAGAATATCCAAGAACATTGAATGATGGCAGACGGTTCAGACCTCGAGAACAACAACAAAGCCGAGCTGGACAGAAGCCAGCCCAGCTCGACCAGTGATGATGGCCCCCAAGAGCAAAAAGACCCTGACGAGATCCCTCCCGACTATGCGACTGGCGTCCGACTCGTCCTTATCATGTTCACGATCTTCGTGAGCACCATCCTCGTGTCTCTGGAGATTGGTATCATCGCAACCGCAATCCCCGGCATCACCAACGATTTCCACAGACTAGACGATGTGGGCTGGTATGGAAGTGCGACGTTCATCCTCGCGGCCTCGGCCTCGCCACTGTGGGGAAAGCTGTTTAAGTACCTCAACGTGAAGTGGGTTTATCTCGGCGCGGTTGGAATCTTTTTGGTGGGTAGTATTGTGGCCGCAGCAGCTCCAAATAGTGTGTCCGTCATCATTGGACGTGCCATTCAGGGTTGGGGAGCCTCTGGTGTCCTCGGAGGCACCCTCATCATCATCAACTATGTCGCCGCGCCGAAGAACCATCCGCTTCTTATCGGCACCTGGATGGCAGTTTTCATGCTGTCGAACATTCTGGGGCCAGTGATTGGCGGCGCATTCACTAGCGGAGTTACCTGGAGATGGTGTTTTTGGATTAACTTGCCCGTTGGTGGGCCTATCATCGTGCTGTTACTGTTATTCCTGCGCATCCCTAAGCATATCAAGAAGGTCCCAGCGACGTGGCAGGAGGTCATCCTCTCCCTGGATCTCCCAGGCTTCTGTTTACTACTCGTGTCTCTCGTCTGCTTGACATTGGCATTGCAATGGGGTGGACAGACTAAAGCGTGGAATGATGGCTCGGTCATCGCGACCTTGGTCATGTGGATTGTCCTCAGCATTGGCTTCTTGGTTACTGAATGGTTCCAGGGCCACCGCGCCATGACTCCCTTTCACATTCTGAAACTGCGCACGACATGGAGTAATGCATTATTCTGCCTGATGTAAGTCCTCACTATACATCTATCCATCTCCCACTCATGAACTAACCCACCGATCCTCTCCTTATTCTAGCTCCTACGCCGCCCTCTACCAAGTCATGTTCTACCTTCCCATCTACTTCCAATCCATCCATGGCCAATCAGCCGTGACAAGCGGCGTCAACACCCTCCCGTTCCTCGCCTTCTTCGCCCTTGGAGCCGTCGTCAGCGGCGGCGTCATCACAAAGACCCGCTACACACAACCTTACGAGCTCCTCGGCGCCCTCATCATGACCGCTGGCATGGCTCTAATCTATATCTTGGACGTCGACTCCTCTAAAGCCATGTACATTGGTGCCGAGGTACTCTTTGGATTTGGCGTTGGGATCTGCAACCAGATCCCCATGACAGCAGTGCAAGGCTCCTCGAAACTTGAAGACGTTTCCAGCGCGACTGGAATCATGGTTAGTAAGTATTTCCTACCCTCCCTACGCAATACAAGTATTGAGTATTGCGCATCCGAGGACCTACTCAGGTAGCTACTCATGTATGCATGTTATGTATGTATGGGACACTAACACCGGACCCAACCAACCAGTGTGCCAAACCCTCAGCGGCGCCTACTTCGTCGCCATCGCACAATCCCTGTTCGCCAACCGGATGCTCCAGACTGTCCTATCCAGTGCAGCTCATCTTGATCCCGCCCGGATTCTAGGCGCTGGCGCCTCGGAACTCCAGGACGTGTTCAGCGGGGATGATCTCAAGGAGGTCATTAACGCGTATATGGTCGGCATCAAGGATGTGTTTACGTTTTCGTTGGCGTGTGCGGCGTTTGCGGTCCTCCTGTCGCTAATTATTCCATTTAAGAGGCTGCCGGATCATGGGAAGAAGGACAAGCCAGCGACAGAGGAGGCTGCGGTGGAGAAGGAGAAGAAGACGGAGACCGCCGATGGGGAGAACGAGAATCAATCTTAGGATTGGTCACTAGTAGGCTAGCGCTGCTTGTGCTGCTACCTTATCTGCCAGACGGCAGACTACCGTACAGGCGAGTGAGCTTTGGCGGGGTAGGGGAAAAAACCAACATGTTCATTTCCGAAGTGAAATATCAATTTTCGGATATCTTATTACATACATAGTTTGTTTAATATACTAGATTGTTTGGTGTTTTTTGATTGGTGGCTTAGTGCATCCAAGCCGCCATTAACGTAGGCAAAGGTCAAACATCGCCCCCAACATTCCTCATTATACTCTCGAAGAACGCCATGTCGACACCCTGAAACGCCCAGTCCTCGCCGCCGGCGGCGAGTCCAGGATGTCCGCCCTGCATTAGCGGGGATGGCGTTAGAAAAAGACCAGGGTCTGAGAACGTGGCCTGACATGGTTGCTGCTGTTGGTGTGCGAAAGGGGCGGAAAATTCATGGGGAGCAGCTGTATCGGCGACGCGGAAGGAGAGTGGGTTGGGAGTGTTGTTAGTGGAGATAGAACTAGTGGAGAGTGGTCCACTGGAGAGGGGATCGGTGGGGTGTGTCAAGGAGGAGAGGCGGAGTTGGGCTTCGGAGTTGCTACTGCTGCTTGTTCCCGACGTCGCAGCTTGCTGTTTCTCACGTGCAATCCGGATAACTCCGAAATACGGTATATGCACCCGCACCACGCTCTCCTCCTCCGAGACCATCCCATCATGCGGTAACATACCCTCACTGCCCGCCTCCCGCACACTCACCCGCCCATGCCCTTTCTCCAGATCAATCGCCAACAATGACTTTAGCAAATCTGCACTTTGTGCACTCAGTTCGTCCGAATTCAGCCGGTTGATCTCGCTCATGTGTTCCTGCACCTGTTCGATCATCCCGCGATCGCTTAAATACTGGTTCGCGAGCAGATTTTCCGCCCCGTCGCTATGGCTATCCATGTGTGCGAGTAGGAGGGCCATGGCCGCCATGAGGGCGAGGAAGTCGACCGTGCGACAGCTGTAAGCAATGCGATTGAAGCTGCGGAGCGAGTTGTAGCGCGAGAGAACCTCCCGCGACGCATTGACGCATGTGATCCGCGAATACTCGTATTTGTTCTCTGCGGACGAGGGGCGCAGCATATACGGTAGATGCAGCTGGTTGAGAAGGTTGTAGTGACAGATCTGCAGGACGAGACGGCGCGTATCCCAGAACACGGCTTGCAGGTCGTTGGAGGCATTGTCGAGTTTGGGGGCCAGCCACCACTTGCTCGGGAGGCTACTCGCGGCTTTCTGTAGGTCCAGGTCGATGGCGCGGGTGGCGGCCAGGTCTTGGCCGCTCGGCTTGGATGCGTTCCGTTCGAGGATTCGGGACATGGCAACACAGTGCAGCTGCTCGAGACGGCCCATAGGGCAATCGTTGGCGATGTGGGTCTCCGAAGCCATACTATGGTCGGTGCAGCCTTCGGGCAGACCGAGCAGGAGGCAAAGCTGGCGGTCGAGGGTTATGATGCGGAGCCACATTATCCGTGAGTCGTATTTCGTTTGGGGGTCGAGCGCTTTGTATAGGGTCTGGTTATCTGGTCGATGAAAGCCCATCAACTGGGCGAGACTCATTGCTCTGCGACCCGCGACCCAGCTTCGTCGAAGGTTCCCAATGTTCACCTGGTATAAGCTCTCGAGCATAATGCACTCGAGGCTCTCGATGCTGCCGATCAATGCCTCGTTTGTCGTGACGTGGTAGATGGCAAGATCTGCTAAGCGTTCCATGATGACGCGGGGTGGTTCCGACAGGCCTTCAATCTCCTTGTGAAGATCTGGAGGAAGATGCTGTAGGAAAAGGGCGAGCTGGAGCATGTGTCTTGCAATCAAAACAGGATGCATATTTGGTTGCGGGGTCATCAGTAAACTCTCGGGCGTTTGGAGGCCGTTCTGATAGAGGGTGGTGTATGGAGTCGATAATAATTCGTGGGAGAGGATGGAAGAGTGGCGACTAGCTTTGCAGATGCTTTCGGTATCTGCGCGCGACGGGAGTAATTCATGCAGAAACCGAGACAGCCTCTCATATTTAAATTGTGAGGTATCATTCCTGGTGGTCGGGGGATATTGCTGGAAAGCCGTCAGTCACAATCATAGAATACTGGGGAGGGATGAAAAGCTGGAAGAGACGGACCTCAGGAGATTTGTAATATTTTGAAGGCTCCATTATCGTTGACACGGGCGTGAGAATACGGTCTGTCCTCTCACAGGGTGTGGCAGGGCGAGTTCTGCCATCAAAGGAAGTGCCATCACTACTGGTGGTTCCAATGCTCATGAGGGCATTTTCGAGATCCTCGGGAAATTCCTGGCTAATACAGGGAGAGCCACGTCGTCGACAGCCATTGCAGGAGGTACTCGCAATGCGCGGATCGAATCTACATTTCATCTTCCGACGCTTGCATTCCCAGCAACTGTGGGTACCTTTGCGCACCTTTCTCCGTTTGGCTTGCCCGTAGGCGTCATGCGACGGTGCAACATGCTGAACAGACATGGTGGATTAGAACACGGACATGGAGATGAGAATGTGTAGCGTCGTGGGGCGATGGGAAAGGATAAGACTAACTTCATGGCGTTGCGTGAGTGAAAGAGGGGGGTTATCTTTGAGCTTACTCTGGCCTTAGTCATCCCATGCACAGATAGCGCAACCGCTGTTAGGTGTGTTTGCCACCGTAAGTAGAGGACAATAAAAAATGAAAAGAAAGTCTTTTGGCACTGTACTCCGTATAGAGTAAATTGTATTATTCCCTTCCACTTATGGATCCATTATGCGAAGCTAAGAGATAGATGGTTGCAAATTTTTCGTATTTACTAGAGTAACGTTCCAGCGTCGGAAATTTATATCGTAGTTGACCTTACTGATTGGTTGAAATAGCGGTCGGTTGTCGTTTGTGGAAGGCGGTGGTCTCGAAATAGACTCGGACTCTTCGATACGCTTCCATATATACGATGTAGTATGCCCAGCTACAGGTTAAACTTTGCCTGGCGGGCGGAGAATAAGGAAAGGCCCGCCTAGCCTAAGGTTATCTCCCCATTATCCGACCCACTCCCGATTGTGACTGAAGTCTGAAGCAGTTCTAGATGTGAAGAGGGGCTGAAAAGTTACTTCGGGGGTAGCTTTGTATGTATTTTCGGGGATGTCAGTCGACGTGCGCGTCGCTCATGGGAATTGATAAGGCTACTCAGCGTTACAGACGAGGTCACACCATTTCTCATCAGTGCTTGCTGAAGGATCCGGATCCGTCTGAAGAATCCCTCAGCAGAATTAAGAGTCAGCCCGAGCCCGGCCCACATGGCGTTCGGTATTCTTCAGATGGGCTCGAATCCTTCAGCAGGCAGTGAGAGCCAGCCCGAGTCCGGCCCCCATGGTATGCGGTCGAATTCGACCGGAAAACGCTCTCCGCCGTACGGAGAAGTCGTATCTGAATCAAAATTGCCTCGGTATTCCCGAACGGGAAAAACGTGTTAGCATCTGTTGGATAGGGAGGTCGGCCGGAGATATACGAGGGCGACGGCTCACGTCTCTTGGCTAGCGTTGCAGTAGTTAGGGCTTACGAGGACTGTGGCGGCGCGAACGTTTTGTCCAACAGATATCGCGATATATCTTCGGTAGCAGCAACGCCCCACACCATCCCGGTACGGATGTATGAGAATAATATCGTATTGCGTTCATGGGTGATTATACCGGTAGAATCAGGCGGGAGGCTCCGCAGCAAACCAGTATTCCCTTCTCCTAAACGCTGCAATATCCATTCGCACCTGCATGTTCGTCGGACTTTTTATGCCGGTTCCATGGGTATAAATAATTGGGAGATTATTCCCCGAAATTCCCAAATGGCTCAGTAGATTCAATATCATATTGTCATTCTACTTAGACATTAGATTCTTCCATTGCCAGTCTTTATTATTTCGAGGAATGGACTCCAACCATCCTACAGTTCTCCTTTTCGGAGACGTCACAGACCCATGGGTTGACGGTATCGATTATGTCTACAGTCAAGCCGCAACCAGACCTTGGCTTCGGTCCTTTTTGGGTGACCTCTTCTCGGTCCTGAAGGCAGAGATTAGGACCATGGACCGAACATTGCAAGACAGTTTTAGGGATTGCTCCAGTTTCCAAGAGCTCGCTGAACGATATCGACATACCGGCGACGATTTTGGGATGGCGCATGCCATGCTGATTTATGCCATCAGAGCCGTGGTTTTACTAGAGTATGTGTTTTGCTCTACTGTAACGATGCATTGCTGACTACTTCAAGGACTATCAGCCGCGAACCACAATTACTAGACCCGAGCCGGTCCAGACTGGAGTTGATGGGTGTGTCCGGAGGTCTATTCAGTGCTGCAGTCGTGTCAATCGCGACGAATTTCACGACACTTTATGACACATGTCTCGAGGCGGGTCGGGTGTGGGCAAGACTCTGCAACTTCACTTTGGTGAAATCGAGAGCCATGGAGGAGCGCCCTGGAACCTGGGGTTGGGCTGTCCTTGGAATCCAGGCTGAAGAGCTAGGTAAAACCCTGGAGCAGTTCCAAAATTCAATGGTAAGTTCTTTCTTTCCTCTATTCCAGGCTTTTCTAGTCCGCGTTCGAAGACTAACTTGAAGACCAAACAGGGAGTTCCGTCTGCCAAAAGAGCCAGGGTTGGTGTCACTGGAGACAAATGGAGCACCGTCATCGGACCACCTTCTATCTTGGAGCTCGTCTTGAACGAATGCCCTATACTGAAGAAACTTCCAAAGAACGAGCTCAATATCCATGCTCTTCAGCACACCCTAGACATCTCCGAGGCCGATATTGACTATATTGTCGGGAATTCCACACTTCTAAATACACCTTTACCCCGGGGGTATAGGATATACGGCCTGGATGAGGGTCATCCTGAGGCTACTTACTCCAGCTGGGGCCATCTGTTGAGAGCTTCTGCATCACAGACTTTGGCACGGCCATTGAGCATTGTCCAAGCTGTCAGCAAGCTCAACGCCAACCTGGGGACATCACAGCATGTTAATTTCAAGATCATGGGTCCCAGCAGCCACGCCGCATATATTGTCAAGGTTCTACAAACTGCCGGAAGGGAAGTTTCTTTTCATGATGATATATCCTCCAAACCGCCGACCCCTGAGAGTCGAGACGGGATCGCCATCATCGGCATGGCAGGAAAAGGACCTGGCAGCGATGACCTCGACGAATTCTGGGAGGTGATCTTGAAAGGGCTTGATCTCCATCAAGAGGTCCCCTCCGATCGCTATGACTTGGATGAATACTACAGCCCCAAGCATCCCCCAGCCGGTCCGGGAAAATGCACCATGACCTGCAAGCACGGCTGCTTTATGAATAACCCCGGACACTTCGATTCGAAATTCTTCCATATCTCACCCCGAGAAGCTTTGTTAATGGATCCCGCTCATCGATTGTTCCTTATGAACGCTTACGAGGCTCTCGAAATGGCCGGGTATTCCGATGGCCAAACCAAATCGACGGATCCAACCAAAATCGCGACCTTCTTCGGTCAATGTAATGATGATTGGCATGTCGTTGGTCATCGAACATTGGGATGTGATGCCTACACCTTACAGGCAGTACAACGTGCATTCGGACCGGGTCGACTGGCCTTCCAGTTCAACTGGGAGGGGCCGACTTATGCCCTCGATTCTGCGTGTGCAGCGACCAGTTCCTGCATCCATCTTGCCTGCATGAGTCTGATGGCTAGAGATATCGATATGGCCGTCTCAGGAGCGGCCAACGTGCTGTCCACCCCGCATTCATTCACCAGTTTGAGTCGATCGGGCGTCTTGTCCGACTCTGGGAACTGCAAGACGTATCGCGATGACGCCGATGGGTACTGTCGCGCCGACTTCAGTGGTGCAGTGGTGCTGAAACGACTTGACGATGCCATTGCTCACAACGACAACATCCTGGCGGTCATCTCATCCTCGGCCAGAAACCATTCGGGCAATTCTACATCCATCACTACATCTGATGCTGCTGCCCAGGAAAGATTGTTCCATAAGGTCCTTCGAAATGCACGGGTGACCCCCGAGGATATCTCCTATGTTGAGATGCATGGAACGGGTACCCAGGTTGGCGATAAAGCCGAAATGGGCGCGGTTTCGAGTGTCTTTTCGAAACGGCGGGATGGAGAGCTTCTGCCGGTGGGAGCTATCAAGGCAAATATCGGTCACAGTGAAGCAGTTAGTAACCAATCCAGGACGCTTTCCCGATATTTGCAGATGAGCTAACCTTCTGATCTAATTAAAGGCTGCAGGAATGTCTTCCCTGCTCAAGAGCATCCTCATGTTTCAAAAGGGAACCATACCACCACAGGCTGGGATGCCTCATACCCTCAACCCCAACTTTCCACCCCTACATGAGATTAACATAAAGATTCCTTCGGAGCCATTGGAATTCAAGTCTTCTGGCGGCAAGCCGAGACGTATTCTCCTCAACAATTTCGATGCCGCGGTAATTTGTTCTATTACTGCTCCCGCAATGTTGCTGTACTGACCACGTATATAAAACTCTAGGGCGGCAACGCATGCCTACTCCTGGAGGAGTACACGCATACGAGCAAGAGAGGCGCAGATGTGAGGTCGGCCCACACCATTGTGACCTCTGCAAGAACACCATCTTCGCAACTCCTCAACAAACAACGACTACTCAAGTGGCTTCGATCAAATCCCAACACTCGCATTGAAGACCTTGCCTACACAACTACGGCAAGAAGGATGCACCATCCCATCAGATTCGCGCTGACTGCATCCACGACACAAGAGGCCATTTCAAAGCTCGAGTCCGAGGTTGAACGCAGTAGCAATCCCTCTGCTTCGCGGCATGTCCCCGTCGTCTTCGTCTTCACTGGACAGGGTTCTCACTACGCAGGCATGGGTGCCGAGCTATACCGCACGAATTCTGTTTTCCGTGGGAGAGTCGATTTGTGCGTGGCAATCTGCGCAGGCAACAGCTTCCCCCCATACTTGGACATCATCACCGAGGAGGGAATCGATGTGTCTACCAAGTCTGCGGCGCAAGTGCAACTCGCTGTCCTCACCTTGGAGGTAGCCCTCACCTACTTTTGGCGATCCGCAGGAATTGAGCCTGCGCTGGTCATGGGCCACAGTCTGGGTGAGTACGCTGCCCTGCATGCTGCTGGAGTCCTGTCGCTGGCAGATGCGTTGTATTTGGTTGGACATCGTGCCTTGATCCTCCAGGAGCGATGTGAATTCGGGTCTTGTTCCATGCTTGCGGTGTCAACGTCAGTAGAAAATGTGCGGGACCACCTATCTCAACTCCAGTCCTCTTCTTGTGGTGTGGCTTGCATCAACAGCCCGAGTGCTACTGTTGTCAGTGGGACAGCTGAGGATTTGGCACAATTCCAGGAAAACATCACGGCGCAGGACGCCAAGGTTCGCGCGAAGACATTGTTCATCCCATTCGCATTCCACTCGTTCCAGATGGATCCAATCCTACAAGACTACAGCTCTATTGCAGCAG